GGGTAAGCCAAGGCGTCTGCCAATTCCCAATCCTCATATTAGGAGGAAGATCATAAAAATCTTAGTTAAGATGGCAGAAAGAACTTTTGATGAAGATTCATGGGACATTTTAAAATTTACTCAACCAATATTGGTGCCAGGTTGACTGTGGAGTTTCTATAATGGAGACAGATACATTGCCTGCTCTTGCATAGCTTAGCATAACTTAAAACTTAGTGACTGTGGCAGACACAAAGGGGAAGATTGCAGTGTGTAATAGGGACATGGAAGGGCACCTTGTCCAGCTAGAGACATTTTTAGGGGAAGGAAAAAGCGCATGTGTGCACTGGCTTGAAGGCCAGAAAACGCAAGGTCTCCTGAGGAAAATAAAAGTAATTCAGTGCAGCTGGAGCATAAAACAAAAAGAAGATACCATTGATTTTGCTCATAATAGGCCCTTTTTTCACAGGGAATTAACCCAAGAATAGATATTGATGAAGTAGACCTGAGCTGATGAGCTGATTGGAATTATATGTGAAATTTATAGAACTGGTCCCAAACTTTGCAAAAGAGGATTACTGAAATGAGTGACCCAGAAACCTCATGTCCTGTCTGAGCAGTTTGTGAATCTGAAAACAAAGCAGTAGCCAGCAACTGATTTGCTAAGGTTCCCATTCTGGGACAATTTAATAGGTTGGCTTTCTCTCTTCCTACCTTCCTTAAGAAAAAAATACATTAGAATGTCATCCTATTTGTTTACAATGATTATTTTTTATCTATAAGGCAGATTATTAGTATAGCACTAACTAGTGAGTTTTCTCCCTGGAGCCACACTGTATGGAAAGCCAAACATCAAAATCAGCTTGTTTTAAAACAGAAGAGACAGTAATATGAATTGACATGTTCAATGACATCAGGATTGTATCACCTTTCCACAAAATCTGGACTTAACACACACACACACTTTCATACTTCATATATTCCTTTTAAAGTTTCCTTTTACACATTGTATTATATAAATTTCATATATGCTGGAGGGTTTTCATTGCAGTTTTGTTAATCCTGTCCTTTTTAATTTGACTCCCTCTTCTCCTTTTTACCCCCTCCCCACCCATAAACACTCCAGGATGACTCAGAATTAATGACCTGGTATGCATTCTTCCATGTTTTTTCCCCCCTATTCATATAATCATATACAAACATACACATATACATACATAAAGATGGGTGAGATTTCTTTTTAAAATAATGAAATTATTAAAAGTAATTTTTTCCTCATTCAACAATATATCTTATGGGAATCCCTGAAATTCACATAATTTCAATTTATTCTTTTTAAAGCTGCATAGTGGGCAATTTAAAAATTATGCTTCCATTGTTTTTTTTGTTCTATGGACACTAGGGCAAAAAAAATCCTTTCATGGATCCTCACAAATGATTTTTTTATCATTTCAAGTCTCTAATTTTATATCTTTATCTATAAATACAGTCAAAAACACTAAACAGCACTGTTTGCATTAATTCATGTTTTATGTTAATAGTATTATGCCACACACATCCTTCAGCAATTTGCTTAAGATGTTTGAAATTTATCCTTACTGATATATGAGAATTTAGTTCTTACATTTTAATAGTTGTATAGCATTTTTGCTATATTTATTCTATTTAAATTATACATTTTATATTAGGTTTTCTTTTCATCCTATTTACTTTTATAATGAATAACTACTGAACTTGATCAAATGACTTTTAAGCATCTACTGGTTATAGAATTACATGTTTTTCAGCTTTAGTTGGTAGATTATATTGATAAACCTCCTCCTAATTGAATCATCTTTGTATTTCTAGGAAAAATATCCTTTGCTGTTTATTCTAGCTTCCTTTCTAAATTTAATTTACTAATATATCAATCAGAACTTTCTATCTATTGTCACAAGTGAAATTAGTTATAGGTTTTTTTTTGTACTATATCAGAATTTGTCAATAATAATATGCTACTGGCTTCTTTTATTTTAAGATTTTATTTATTTTTAAAGAGAGGAGAAGGGAGGGAGAACAGATGGAGAGAAGTACTGATGTGTGAGAGAAACACCAACTGGTTGCCTCTCGCACACCCCCAACCAGGGACCTGGTCTGCAACCCAGGCATGTGACCAACCAGAAATGGAACAGGTGACCTTTCGCCCTGTGGAACAATGCCCAACCAACTGGGACAAACTGGTTAGGACTGCTGGCTTCTTTAAAGTTTAAAGAAAGCTTCTTTGAGAGCTTTCTACTTTACTTATGTTTCAATTATTTAAATTATATTTGATTTATCCATGTTTTAATGGAATAAGTCCAAATTAAGCCATGAAACCCTCTGTCTCTGGTGATTCTTTAGTAACTTTTTGGTCTCTTTTAAGGAAACTGACTCATTCAAGTTTTCTTTCATTTTGGGATAATTTTGCTAGGAAAATACTAATTTACTCTAGTTCTTTTTTCTTTGCCATATATTAGCATGTAACAGTCTCTTAGAATTCTCTTAGTATATCCTGTATTTGTGTTTGTCTCCTTTTTCATTCCTTATCTTGTATATTTTTGCTAGTATTTTTTAATCTAATAAAAGAATCAAGGCTTATGAATTATCTATTTTATTGTGTGGGGTTTTTTTTTTTTAAAGAACCAGCATTTGGGTTTATCACTTCAGATTTTTATTTCACTAATTTCTGCTTTTTATTTCTTCTTCCCAGCTTCTTTCTCTTGTTGTTCTTTTTCTAATTTCTAAGTGCTGAGTTCCTTCATTGTTTGCCTTTCTCCTTTACTACTCAAGGGATTTAAGATTACAAATTTCTATCTGAGTTAAAAGATTTACTATATTTTCGTATAAAAGCTTTCTTTCTTTTCTACCTAGTTTGAAATTCCCCTTTTAATTTTTTCTTTGATTTAGGGATTATTCAGTAGTGTTGCATAATTTCAGTATAATTTTCCAAGTGATATAAAGCTTACCATAGTACTTTTTAGCATAGGATAAAGTCTACCTTCCTTTTTTTCCCTAGCATATGCTTAAACCAGTAGTACTCACCTTGTGACACAGCTGTATCCCAAGAGCCCATGAGTAACATCAGTTAACTTTTTGAAGCCAACAAATACCAAAAGAAACAACACTTTGAATGATGAAGAAATTTTTCTTTAATTTCTTTAAAGTTGGTAGAAAAGATGGTTAAATTTGCAAAGAAGCCTGCAAGAATTTACGTTTATGAAATAATATTGTATTAACATGGAGAAATCCTATCCCAGGATTGTCCTCTTAGCTTTCTACAGCATTTTCTAAAGAGTGCCACTTACAGCTAGATAGGAAAGAAGAGTGGGAAGGAGTTGGAAAAGAGCTGCATTCTGTCACAGTCACCCTCTTGGAGATCTGCATATATGTTAGCATATTAAAAGCTCTGGGAAGTTCACCTTACCTTGGGTTAACTAAGATGTCCTAAATGTATTTGATTACCTTATTTTGTAAAATCAATTAACATTAATTCTCTTTGGGAAATGCAAGCCAAGGAGACAGACATTCCTTGGAGAGAAAGACAGTATAATCAAATTCTCTGTGTTCTGCAAGTTATTCACACCTGGGGCTCAGTTAAAGGTTTGCTGAATGACTTGGTAGCAGAGGAGATGTGATGTGGCAACAAGAGATGTTAGTGTCCACTGCAGCTGTTCCCAGTATGGCCATACATAAGTTGGGTTCTTTTATTAAAGAGTACTAAATATTTTGCATCAAAATATAAACTTTTAAAAAAATTTTACAATCGGAAATGGAAATTCCTAAAATTCTGACCCTATGCAAATTCAAATATTAAAACCAACACACCAAGAAGGCAAATAAAACCTGGTAAAAATAATACTGTACTTGCAACACCAATCAAAGTATGTAATAATATATATATACATGCACACACACATCAGCATCACCACCCAATCCCCATGTATACTGTGTAATGTCAGAGACTGACGACTGAGGGTATCACCAGATCACCAAGGGGGTGACTGTTATAGAATGTGGTCCTTTCCAACTCCCTCCCACTGTCTATATTAAACTAAGACAAGTACTGCTTTCTTTTGTTTCCTATTTATTTAGTTTTATGATTCAGCCATATACTTTCATGATCATAAGTAGAGAGTTACTAGCTATAGCTAGAAAGCTTCAGAATTCTAAAAATATAGACAACCTTCATTTATTCAGCTACAGAAGTTATGGTTTCAAACACTGAGACATGAAATTTTATATTGGTGATAGTTACTATTAGCTGCTTTCAGAACACTGATTTGTTTGGGGCAACAATGCATGCACAACTAACAAAGGTAAGTAACTTCCCAGGCTTCTTTGTAGCTACAGGTAACTATATCTATGACGTATCCATGTGGCCAGTGAGACAAAAGGAGAAATCTGCTGGGAAGATTCTATGAAAGACTGCTCTTTCAACCTAAAAAGAAAGCCACACAAGAAGGCATTCTGTCCCCACCTCGTCCTTTTTGCCTAGAACACTGGTGTGAGGAAAATAATGCCAGGGGCTGCAGCCATCACCCTTTGACCCTGAGGCAAAAAGCAAAAGCACAAGAAACCAACATGTTAAGGATGATAGCATGGGAGGACAGTAGGACCCTAGATGCCTGATAAAAGCATTGAGTCAACTGAATAGAATCTGGACCTACCTGTCTCCAGATTTCTTGTTAACCATAAATATCCTTGTGGTTTAAGCTCTTATTGGTTGGGTATAGAGTCACTGCAGCCAACTGTTTCCTAACTGATACAGTTGTGCCCTATGTTTTCATACTGTGATGAAGAATATAAATTACTTATTATCATTTCAGATTTCAAAATTTTATAAAAGGAATAAAGGATATGAGAAACTTTTAACTTTCACTGCATATAATGCTGTATATAAATTGCTTCTACAAGCACAAAATATTTTAACATTTAATGACAGGATAAAAAAATAAACAAACTTAAAAAGAAAAATAATAGGAAAAATTGATCCATACCCGTACCTTTCCGTGTGTTCTCCGTCACATCTACCCCAAACTGGATAATGTCACCAGAAAGAATTTCACATGGTGGACTTTCTTCAGAGCCTCGACTCAATCTCTGGCTATTTATAAAAGTACCGTTACTACTTTTAGTGTCTTGGAGATAAAACTGCAAAAATAAAATTGAAAGAAAAAAAGAGCCAAAGATTAACAGCAATAATTCCAAACCCACATTAAAAAAAAGTACTTCCAACTTTGCAAACTACTGCAGGTGGCTTTTTTTTCCCCTCACTGTCAATTCAAACCACTTGTTTTGCTAAGGTTCTTCTTCATTACGTATAAAATCAAAACTAAAATCAGTAATTTAAAGTCCAGCTAGACAAATTAGTATAATCATTCTGGAAGACAGTATAGAAAGTCCTCAAAATGTAAACATAAAATTAGCATATGACCCAGGAATTCCACTCTGAGGTATCAATATATACTCAAGAGAACTGAAAACATTATGTCATCACAAACACTCCTACACAATATTTATAGGAGCATTCCCTGGCCCCCCCCAATCCTTCCCCTTTGGTTTTGTCCATGAGTCCTTGCTATATGGAGCATTATCCATAATAGCCAAAAAGTAGAAACAACCCAAATGTCCATCAACTGATTAATGGGTAAACAAAACAGTATATCTGTATGATGTTATATTATTTGGCAATAAAAAAGAATGAAGTATTGATTCATACTACAACATGGATGAACCTTTAAAACATTATATTAAATGAAAGAAGTCAGCCACAAAAGACCACATATATGTAATTCCATTTACAGGAAATATCCAGAATAAGCAAATCCACAGGAAGAAAATGTACATGAGTAATCACAAGGGGCTGAGGTGCCGGGGTGTGGTGGTGGTGTGGTGAGAATGACTGCTAATGGGTATGAGGTTTCTTTTTGGAGTGATTAAAACGTTCTAAAATTAGATAGTGGAGACCTGACCTATGCTGCTCAGTTGGTTGGGCATTGCACTGCAAAGCAAAAGCTCGATTCCTGATCAGGGCACATGCCTGAGTTGTGGGTTTAGTCCCCCGTCACAAAGCATAGGAGAGGCAGCCAATTGATGTTTCTCTCCCTCTCTTTCTCCCTCCTTTCCCCTCCTCTCTCAATAAATAAATCCTTTTTAAAAATTAAAAAAAATTAGATGGTGATGGTTGCATAATTGCAAATATATTTAAAAACTCTAAATTGTACATTTTGAAAGGGTGAATTTTAGGGTATATAAATTATATCTTAACAAAACTGTTATTTTTTTGTAAGACAGCTGGACAAAATTTTCTTTCTATCTCACTCTGACTTTGTAATTTTCCTAGGATGTCTGAGTTAAATCAGAGGAAGTGTGTTTATTTCATAGGCAGGACAAGTGGTTTTAGGTAACACAATTAATAACTATCAATTAGCTAACATACTTGATATCAGGACCAATACATCTTCAGTAAATTCTTTGTGATAAAGCAGACTGAAGACATGAGATAGTAAAATACTGGAACCAACTATGAAGGTACTACTTCCTGGCCTCCCAAACTTGACTTTCCTCACTTAGGTAAAGGGAAGGGATAGGATGAAGCACAGGAAGCCTACCTATTTATCCTGTTTAGCCTACCTATCCTAATAGAAATTAGGAACAACTGGGATCACACACAATAGATTTACTAGAAAAAGAACAACCAATAAAAAAAGATGAAACTTTTTTTGTGAATTTTTCTCCACTCTTCAGCCCTGCTTATTGTAGCAACATATTTTCACTGAATTCCTTCCTAAGGAAGAAAGGAAAGAAAAAAACCCTAATATTTATTAAAATACACATTATAACCCCAGGACCTCATTTAACCTTAACATTAAAGCTGTAATATAGATATTACTACCTTTTATAAATGAGAAAAGTGTGGCACAAGTAAGTATTTTTGCAAAGGTCACAGAGCTATGGAATACAGGAACAAGGATTCAAACAATAGGAATGAAAAGGACCATCTTTTATCACTTAACACTGACCTTTATATTTCATTTATCCTTCACTCCTTCCATAAGCTCTCTTCCAAAATGAAACACAACAAAAGAATAAGCAATTTGCAGAAAATATGAAAATGACATTTCTTTTCATTAATACTTAGGTGACAATATAAAGGTCATCAGGCTGTTTACATGTCTATGTATGACTTATTCTCTGTTTATAATTCAAAAGAGGCCGTTACTTTGGCTAGCAGTTTGTATATTTAATTACAGACCATAATAAATAAAATTGTGTTAATATTTTACTAGTCTATTTGAAATTTATAGGCCTTAACATTTCATACCAGGGAGAATAACACAGGCAATACACTCAAGTAAGAACACTTATCCTCAAATTTTTTTCTACACTAGAGCCTACTGTTACACTGTATAAGGAACTTTGTTTTTTGTTTCTTAATCTTAATAAATATATTCTTGGGAAGTGTGGTGCTATCTGGATTCTGGTTTCGTCATTTTTAGTAATTTGTGCCTCTGCAAACCAAATAAAGGGATTATACTAAATTTATAGTGGTTTTCAAACTTCAAGTTCTGATCCATTAGTGTTACTAAATTAACTTAGTGGGCTGCAACTAGCACTTCATTTTAAACATTAAACAGAACATAAATAAGAATATATGAAATGATATTCAGTGCTATTTGGCAAACTTTGGAAAACAAAAAGGTGTGTGTGTGCCTCAACACCCCATGTTCGTAACTCTTATATAACTCTAAAACAACAAAATTTCAAATTAAAAAAAAATTGAAGCAATATTAACCCAGGTTCTTTAATTCTGACATGTCTATATTACTATCCAAAGCACTCCATGGTACCTTTGGCATCCATTTAGCTTGAATGTATTGTTTAGATTAGTTGTTCATTCTTCCTTTGTGCTCCACACACCATAGTAATAAAGTCCAAAGTTCTTACCATTACATCCTACAAAGCCCTAATCTGGCTTTTGGTTCCTTTTCAAACGTTACTCACTTCCACCATTCTCTTTCCTCACCTTCTCAGCCACACTAATCTTCACTCATGTCCCTGAGTCTCTGTGCTTGTATGGAGCTAGACATCATTAGTTTATTTCCCTGAGGAAATATTTTTGTCGATATGATTTAACCTTCTGCCTTTGGCTGCTTTGAAAGATGGATATAAAAAATATTTCTGCACCACCTATGCAATAGTCTACCATTAGTCGGTCTATACTGAACAGAAGCTATTCCATTTAAAATCAGGTTAGGTTCCTGAAGGTACAGATAAACAAGTCAACTTCTTTGCAAGGGACTGAGAAAGGACTGCTTACAGTTACTGGATGTATTTCCTGTAAATAGGTATGTTAGTTGATTCTTTGTCACTTTCGAACCAAAAATATCTTTCTCTTTTATGCTGATAAAACTTTTTTTATTAGCCCCCCTCATCACTTTTGGTTACTCCAAAAATATCCTGCTGAAGCTAAATCTATGTTTCCCAATAGCCCAAGGAATGCCCAAAAGCAACTCTAGTGCTTGCATTAGCCACCAGCCATTTACTTTGACACTGAGGTGTGTAAGTAGCTCAGAATTTATAACATCATCTGTAGCTTGTGGTCAAAGTTCACCTTCCAATGTGTTCAGGCTTTATCTTGAATTAACCCTTTGCTTTCCCCTGAATGAATGTTAAGCTCCCATATATCAGGCACTGACAGTGATTCCTGAACTGAACAGTTGTTCTTGCCCCATGTCCTTTTGCTTATCTCTTGCCGATCACAATCACCTGCAATGACACAGGCACAGCACTTCACAGATTGCATAATTTGTTCTTTGGCCTCCTGAACAGAAGTTCAGAAAAAAGAGAAAGTTTTTGCTGCTTATTCATAAACAAATACATTTTGAATCACTTTCAACTTTGTTACAAACAGTAAATACTTTCATTTCAACTATAATGATAAACTGCTTTTTACTAGCCTTTTCTGATCACAATACACAAACGCCAATAAATTAATAATATCTGAACTAAAGCTTCAGAAAAAAAAGTCACAGTGGACATGCCATAGGCTAAAGGTCAGAAACTCTTAGTTCATACAGAGGAATTTTAAAAATGTGAAAGCAGAATGGATTAGGATTCTAGACAGTAGATGCTCTCTCATATATTTTTAATCATCACCGAAAATAAAATTAAAGAACGACCAAGATAGCAATACCAAAATCCCACAGACAATATTTATAACAAAGGCAAGTGTCAAAGTATCCACATGAACCTCAAAATATGAGTGGGGAAAACCATCAGCAGCCACATAACCTGCATGAAATCAGCATCTGTGAAGGAGGATGAATAGGGAGGTAAGACGGCACTTCAGGGACTTCAGGAGAACATTAAAATAGTCACTAGGTATTTACTGGACAGTATGATGGTCAATTTGAGAATAGAAGCTGAAAATGGAAAGGGTAAGCCAAATCCAAAAACAAAAGAGTGCCAGGTAAGTTCTGGAAAAGGCTGGAGCACTGTGAGTCATATAAATTCTTAAAATCAACCTCCCCAACAAAGCTGTCTTCCAGAATAGGGCTCCAGGCTGAGGGAAAGCTGCTAGGTGTGGAACAAGAATTGAGCTAAACAGGGACTACAGAGACAAGGAAAGAAAAGGTCCAGATAAAAGTAGAAAAGGGGAAAGGAAGTCACCGTATTTTTTTTTAACATTTTACAAAAAAACAAAAAACCAGAAGAGGGCGCTCTGTGACATTAGAAAAGTGATCTTGAATCATGACCCCCTCTAAAAGTTCAGAAAAACAAATTTCACATAAAAATAAGCAAGGAAAAATGTCAAGGTCTCATCCCATACAGTTATTTTAAGAAAAAAGAGACTGAAGAGCAGAATAACATCCCTACAAATAAAGACAGACCTTGGACACACATCAAAATTATAACACTATTTTAAAACAAACTAAAAGGAATTAAGAAAATAATTCGAGAGATGAAAAATATAAATCACAATTATAAAACTCTAGAAAAGGTGAAAGAACTCCAAAAAGAAATAGAAACAAAAGGAAAAATCATTTCAGAAATGAATACAAAATGAACATGAATGCCTAAATATAACAAATAATGCATTAAGAGAAATAAAAGGTAAAAAGTAGGAAATTTTAAAAAATCAAAATTAA